ATATATATCGTGTTCGATATAAACTTGAGTCATTTGTACTATGTTAGTCTTATAAAGAGTAATCAACGGAGGGGATGATCATTCCGAATTGATAGTAGAGAATGTAATGGGAAGGGAAAGACCATATACTTGTGATTTCTAAAGATCCTGTGCATTGACTTCACAGCGATATATAGAGATTGCATTTAAAATATCCTTATGGTGCACTATAATGATTTGTGTATTTTCCGAGTTCCGGCGTGGTACGTATTAAACGTGGATATAGAAGCCTGTATATTGTAAATAAGTAAGTGAAACAACTACTTGCGCAGAGCTAATAGTCAGCTGCGTGTTTCTATAGCTCGTAGTAGTGATATATGTAATATCTGTACTGCTTGTCTCCAAAAATTGAAATAGAGTAAGATGTCAACAGAGAATCCACATCGACACACACAGACACACAAGAAGAGGAGATACAGATTTACGAGTCATAATGGGACTGTCTGTTGCGGCCTCTGCGAGCGGAGGTAGTGTTCGTACCAATCACATTAGTGATAATTGCACCGACAATAGGATTGGTGCTTCTTAGGTCTTGAAACTTTGTTCTACATAGAAACAATAGATTCATATGATACACGAAGCGTGATACTTGATAGATATGTGCTAATGTGGCCCACGGCGACCAACAAACGATCGGGATTTTTTTTTTTGGGTCATGTGCCTATAATAGAAATACTAAGGTAGAAAAAAAGGTCTGATCAGCAGAGATAAGAAAAGAGCAACCTGTTTTTTTTAATGAATTTCAAGCAACACTTAATTTTGAGAGGTTAACGGGACAACGGCCCAACATATACAGATTACACTCGCTATAGTTAACATTTCACGCATCATTGGACACACTCTGCAAGTTAATGAAAAATAATAACTTACAGAGTCCACAGTTTAGAGGAAGAACTTATAACTTGAATCTCCAAAAGACAGTGAATTATTCTTACTTTCAACATGGCGAACGGCACTTCAGCTACGTCTACGGGGAGCAGTAGCAGTAGAACATCATCATCGACCTTACAAGAAAGAAGACCGCTTTCTAAAGTAGGCAGCATGCTACGGAATAGTGTAGAGGGTCTGTTTGCGAAGGTTCCAGTTTTAAATCCTAATCTACCGCTGACAGTATACTATCACGATACAGCCAAACTCAAAGAGATCATAAAGGAGTTGGAGGGGGTCGGGAGTGACGGAGACACCACCGAGTTGATCGATAGGATGCATCAAGCACAGTGTTGTAAGTAATGCACTAAGTTTGCATGCGTATCGGAGTTATTTTTTACTAGTAGATGTATGCGCGTCGTAATGTAAATGACAGTACAGACAAACGCACAAAACAGACGCAAAACACCCCAACACACACGTTGTGAGTTGACCAGGAAA